TATATATATATATATATATATATATATATATGTATGTATATATATATGTGTATATTGGGTGTATACATATATATTCTACGTTAGAAGTTTATAAATATTTGTATTTCAAATCCAAAACAATAAGAATGTCCACAATTAGGTTACTAGTGTTATTAGTGTCCAAGCATTGATATTTTTATCTTATTTTGTATTTCATCCATATAATTCTAACATATTTTCTATTATGTACGACTGACAAAAGATCAATCTAATCCCCATTATCTATAATAACCCCATTTCGTGGGGCTTTCTAAATTTCTTACATTAAATAAAGCAAAAAAGTATAAAACCGTTAGAAAAGTTATAACCTAAAAGAAAATTTTATCTCTTTATTTTATTTTTTATTTTAATGAATTTTATTTTGTATATTCTTTTATTAATATTTTATCTCCCCCTCTCTCTCTCTCTCTCTCTCTCTCTCTTTTTCTCGTCTATACAACATACAATGTATTGCTTATGAAATACACATGATATCTTTTATGAAACACTGTACATATATTAGAAGACTTCTAACATCTCTTGTAAGAAGCGCATAGATTTATAAACTATAGACTGTAAATAGATTCTTATTTGTTGTGTTAATTTTTTACGGATTTGATTGGAGGGTGGAATGATTATAACGATGTTGTATTGATATTGTGATATAGAAACTACATCATGCTATTGTCATTGACAAAAGAAACCGGCTAGAATAATGTAAAACAAAGCAAAAATAACTGATTTAACGTTTACACGAGAGTTTCTTTGGCTTCTTGTAATATATCCATCTTCTTTCCTTTTCTAATCTTTAAGGTTCCCTGAATACTTACCGCAGAATTTTTAATTTACGATGTCAGAAGCGAGAAAACGCATGCATCGAAACTCTTGCATGTTATTTCCAAATAAAAAAGATGTTTGAATGAAAGAATACTTTTTGCTTAACTATTTTTGTAAAATGCTCCGAAAATTATCTTTTTCTCTTGACAATCAATAACTAATGAAATTAGCGTGCCTTGAAATGCAACCTTTCTTTTTAATCTACCTTTTTCATGATTTTACCACGTTCATTTTAGAGCTATTCCCAAACAGCACAAATCTCTACAGGATACCCTAAAGATATTTTGAGGACGTCTCCAGGACATTCTCTGAAGATCTTGTACTGTCTGGGTTTATTGATTGTCAAATAAAAAGAATAATTTTCGAAGCATTTTACAAGTATGCTCAAGCGATTTCAAGTACTCTTTCATATAAATATCTTTTGTGGCACGCAAGAATTTACAGCATGCCATTTTTCGCTTCAACGTTATAATTCACCGTAGCGAATATCCGTACAGAAGTCTTCAAAATGTTACTTTAAAATTAAATCATGATACATACTAATCGTTTAAAAATATTTAAAAATATTTAAAAATATTTTATCGCGCAAGCATGACAATATGTTTAAAGTATGTAGAATATTATCTTTCTATTATAAACTATCTAAATGACATGCATAAGTGAGAAGTCATATTTTAAATTTTTGTTTAGCATTTTGAAAGCTTGGTCGATGTTAAATATTTTTATGCAACTGTATTTGTGCAGTTATTATCTACTCGATGATTTAATACAAAATATACCGACAGGATGTTATTAAATGTTTTCGAAACGTTTTACAAACGATTATAAAACATTATATACATTTAGAAAACATATGTTAAACCAATATATGTTACTAGGCTTTATTCTTATCTCGTCGGTATAAATAATTATAACTTTATAAATTCCTAATTATCCTAACAAACTCTCATAGCCTCATATCCTTTGAAAGGATATCTTGGGGACTCGTATGGACATTTAGAAATCCTTAGAATATTTTTAGGATATTCTGAGGACTTCTGCGGATATTTAGCAATCCTCTGGATGTCTTTGGGACATCTTTTAAATCTTGTGCTATGTGGGGAATACCTTTGACTAATGAAAGATATTCTAATTTGAATTTAAAGTTAGATGAGAATTTTTCAATTAAATCGTGAAATATAAATATTATATATAATTCAACTGGAAAACTTGTATTTAACTTAAAGTAAAAATATGAGTATCTTACATGAGACAAATTTCACGTGGCAACAAGTAATATAGGTCATAATTTAATCTTCGTTATCTTATTTTATCTAGAGGATTCTTCTCATAAATCGCCTCGTATTTTTTTTTTGTAATTGTCGAAAACAAGCTTACCCAGATAACACAGAGAATTTAAAAAGAATTAAAAAAGAATTCAGTCGTATATCACCAATTCTAAGTTTATTTTAAAATGCAAAAAGAATTTTTCAGAGTTCAGTTCAGTGAAAAGAATTCTTTTTGCACCTAAAAATGAACTCAGAATTGGTGACATATAACTGAATTCTTTTTTAATTATCTATGCTATTTAGGTAGTTTAATAATGTGAATATAAAAAAAAAACATTTTTACCGTCACATATATCCCAGACAATATAAAATCTTCAGGGGATGCCCTAGGACTATTCTCAGAACGTAGAGATGTTTTTAAAACATCTTTAGGATGTTCTGTGAAGATCTATGCTATTTAGAGTATATATGACGATTTACCCCTTGTCCACAACCTTGTTTTAATTCTTAAGCTTTAAGAAATTGACCAATCACAGTTGATTATTTTTAAAATAATCGACTGTGGTTGATCAATTTATTACGGCTCAAAGATTAAAACAAGGTTGTGGACAAGGGGTTAATTTCAAGTATAAATTTAAGTATCTCTTATGAGACAAATGACACAATCTGCGTTCAAATACACTTAAAAAATACAGCTCTAGTGACGATATCAAAAGCGTCTGCTAACGTTTACAATAATCATAAAACTATCAACAAGAAGAGCAATAAAGATAATGAGTGCGTTCGGGGAGCACGCTACTAACGCTACCGCATTCTTCTATCTTTATCGCTCCTTAGATATACAACAAGGATAAAATGACACGTAGTGCAGAATAGCGCTAATAGCGAGCTCCCCGAACGCACCTAATTATGAGATATTAATAAGTTTATTCGCGTTACTTGCACTTTTGATACTTTTACCTAATACCCATTGCACATTACGTTTAGAAGGAAACGTTTTCATTGGATTTTGGTCATCATGTTTGGTGTGTAACGGGCATTAAATGCAAAAATGTTAAAAGTGCAAACGATGCAATAAACGTTTATAACGCGCTCTCCGAACGAATCGATTATTGCGCATGTCCGAATTTTCTCCCTCTATGTGACATTAGGTTTGTTCTTTTCAGCTGCACTGCTACACTGATTCAATAAGTTAAAGTAAGACAAATATATTTTATTTCACTTTAACTTATTGCACCAGTGCAGCAGTGCAGCTCAAAAGAACAGACCATTGGTCTGTTCTTTTCATAAGTTAAAGTGAGACAAGTATATATTTTCTCACTTTAACTTATTACACCAGTTCAGCAGAGTAGCTGAAAAGAACAGACCACTTATCACGTTGCTTGTTGATAACACTTGTATAATTCACCGACTTACCAGTCTTACAGTACCAGTCGTTTCGGATAAGTGCATGAAAAAACTGCCATATGCAATAGTGAATAATAAATAGCGTTTTTAACATCATTGAATATCGTCAAACATAGTTCAACGTAACAATTCGACTTTCAATCTGCAGAACGAAAGAAAAAGACGATACGAATCGATAAAAGGTAAATTTCCTTCTCTCTCTCTCTCTCTCTCTCTCTCTCTCTCTGCAAGCTTCATTCTTGTTTATTATATATTGAATAAATAAATTATCATATGTACAATAATACGTCAATATATGTCGATAATATTTATAACGTTATCGATTATAACCTTAATCTTGTACTGTTGAATTTTGTTTTTGTATAGAACAAAATTCAAAGTACAAGATAAAGTATATAAGATACTCTACGATTTACTATCATTCATATTCTTGTACAATATTAATGCTACATATGTCTTTGAAGTAATTATTTACTATTTTTATCAGATACAATAATTTAGTGTTACATCTTTTTATTACATATGGTACAATTTAATATTTCAAATTTAAATTTTGCTGCTTATCAGTTAGCAGCTTTATCAGTTAGCAGTATATAAATATTGTTTTTATTGTGTTTGTTTTCCTTTTGACCAAAGTAACTTTATACCTTTATATCTCTTTTTATATCTTTATATACCTTTTATACCTTTATACTTTTGTATATTATATATTATAAAATATTCTTATGTTTACATGTAGTTGGTCTAGAAATCTGTCTAGAATCATTGACTTAGAATATTAATCTGAACATCAAGATGGCATCAATACAGGTATATAAATATTTCTTGTAGTGATACTTCTTAATAAGTAATAATATCAAATAAATGTATAGTAGACAATATGTGGCATGTTTCTGTACAAAGGATACATATTTTATAGGTAGAAAAGTTGGTGAAATTATATACAACATTAGCTGCTACACCATCCTTAAGCAGCGCACGAATTTTGAATCCATTAAATAATAACATAGTTGTACAAAGTAAATGGCTGCAGAGAAATCTGGAGTTAAAGACCAACCAACGTTTTCTGCTAGATCATATTTTTAAATCTGGCTGTAGTGAAGTTTCCAGTGGTCTTCCAATTGATATTACTACAGAGTATGTAATTTTAATATGCTATTATTGAGCAACAGTATACATATTATAAACAATATAAATGTAATAAAATATTCTTATAAAGTTCTTATAAAATATTCTTATCCTAAATAAATTGCTCTCAGGCTCATGTCTGCTATGACATATGATGAAAAGTTTAGGGCTGTTCTGCGGCAAGTTACAATTGACAACTCTAAAAAAGAATTTATAGAAATTTGGGATAAGCAACATTTGGTGAAAAACTATGATCTATCTGCTTTGGATGTCCATGGCAATGTTTATACAGATAGTAAGAGATAACTCTCAGATTTAATTTCTTAAATATATCTATCTTATTATATATATCTTATTATATTAATAAGATATATATATATATATATATATATATATATATATATATATAATTTATATAAAAATAAATATATATAATTAAAATATATAGTATATATAGTGTATACATATATGTATGTATGTATGTATATATATAACTATATATGTATGTGTGTATTTTTTTGTTTATATTTGTGTGTTTTTTCAGGTGAGTTCAGTTCTTTCAAGTGGTCTCCTGATAATACTAAACTTCTTTATATAGCAGAAAAAAAACTTCCCAAGACAGAACCATTTTATAAGCAAAAACCTCAAGATAAGAAAGATAAGAAAGATGATGAGACAATAATTGCTGTAAGTGCTCTTTCTGATTTATTCCACATGTATGTTCCCACATATATGTTCTTACACACAAATACAGATCCTCTATATATGTCTCATATATTATGTTAGGGTAATGAATATATCTACAAGCCTCATTGGGGAGAGCAACTAGTAGGTAAACACCGACCTGTCATTGTAATCCTTGACACAATAGCGGAAACAATCACAGCACTATCTGAGATACCAGATGACCTTTCTCCTGGTCAAGTAATTTGGACGAAAGAACAGGATATAATCGGTGTAGCTTGGAAGCATGAACCACGATATTTAGGTCTTGTTGCATGCACCAACCGAGCTTCATGGATATTCTTATTGAAAGATGGGAAATATCGTAAGGAATATTTAGGAAATTGTTGTGCAATTATTTTACATATATATGTAATAAAAAAATTTATAATTTCATGGTTAAGAAAAATTATCGGACGATGGATGTGCCGTACATAGTCCCCGACTTAATCCTCGTGGAGATTATCTTGTTTGGATAGAAAGGAACGTTACTAATTTGCATCACTATACGCAAAGACTTATGTTGCGCGATTTAAAATCCGAGGAAGCAAAGGTAACGTACTAAATAATAAATTGAATCAAATTAAAGAAAGAAAGCAGACATAAAATATGTTAAACATATATTAAGCAGACATAAAATATGTTAAAATATGGTAAACATATGAAATTGTACCATTTTATTTGTAGAATGACGTAATCGTGGATATTGTGCAAACGAGCAACACAATTAAAAAAGAAAAACAGTTTTATGGAATATATGGTCGTTTAGTTGATCGTTGTTGGAGTGATGACGAGCATCTATTTTTCAGTACTCCTCAGAAGAATAATATCTTCTCCTACATTGTAAACATAAGTAAGTAACTAGATATTTAAACCAAGAGCTAACTAATAACTTAAAATATATCCTCATTGCACATGATATGAAGATGATAAACTCATTTAATTCACAGAAACAAAAACTATCGTTGAGGTGCAAAATGAGAATGGCAGCCTCAGTGTACTAGATGTAAAAGAAAACGTAGTTGCCTTTTTAAGTCAATCTTTAACGCAGCCTTCGTGCCTCATGGTAGGCTGTTTTCAATATCCAGGATTGGGTACTGGCGATATTCTTAAATTGGCGATTACAACACCACCAAATCTTGGCCTTGGCAATTTTACATACGAGGCTAATGAATATACATATGACAACGATGACGAAATAAGTAAGTAAATAGTGTTCTCTAATTTTCTATATTTATTTGGTAAACATCTCTTCGTTTTCAGAACAATTCAATTTCATTTACTTCGGACCTAAAAACGAGCAAACTAAGTCAGTACCTTTTATAATTGTGCCACATGGAGGCCCTCACAGCAATTATGCAAACACATTTTCTTTGGATTTCTCTTTTTTGACGTTATCAGGTAATAAGTGTGTGAATCATATATCGTTCTTTGTAAGATCAGAAGAAATGTCATCTGTTCAATGATTAATTTTGGGAAATTCAGGTTTCGCTCTAGTACTGGTAAATTATCGAGGTTCCACAGGAATGGGAGCCGCGACCGTGAAGTTTCTTGAAGGGAGAGTGGGAGATGTAGATGTAAAAGACTGTATAACTGCCGCAGAAGAATCATTGAAGAAGTATCCCTGGCTTGATTCCAAACGTATAGGTCTTTGCGGTGGATCGCACGGCGGATTCTTAGTAGCGCACTTGAGCGGTCAAGTCCCGGTAAGCGAATGAAATATCAAATTAACACAAGTTCCTAAATCTAATTCTGAATTATTGCGCGGTCATATGTAATATTGCATATGCAATATTCATTTTCATTCTTCATATTCAAGGATATGTTTAAAGCGGTAGTCGCAAGAAATCCAGTGATCGACATCGCCTTCAGTTTCAGCTCATCGGATATCCCAGATTGGTAAAGAAATATTTGCTCGTACTTTATACTTTTTTCACATCCTTGATTATTCAATGTCCCATTTGTATTTCAGTCGCAATGCTCTGACTAAGGAAGAGAAAATAACATATCTTCATGATGTGTAAGCTTAATCGTTATCTAAAATGTAATCGACGCATTAGATATTTTTCTTATAATCTTGACTGAAATACAGCTTTTCTTTATTTAAATGTATGCGTATGAATTATGTACGCTGGAATAATTCCTACAAAACGTACAGAACATATTCCTGTCTTTGTAAGCGCCACGCTCGTCGTATTTGCACGACGAATATAATTGAACTTTCTGTTAAAGGTGCGCTGCGGCGATCGCTTCTTCGTACAACGTTTTAAAACCTGGCAACCAAACCGATTTCACCAAGTTGTTCGTGAGAATGCTGGAATGCTCGCCAATTGTTCACGTCGATAAAGTTAAGGCACCGACTCTAATTTCCATTGGAACGAGCGATCTGAGAGTATCTTGCTTTAATGGAAAGTCGTGGTATCATCGTCTTAAAACCAACAACGTGAAAACTAAGTAAGTCAGGTTTTGTGTCCGAACATAACACGTATATTGATACTTATTTATTAGTAGATTACTGATAGGATACTTCATTATCGTTACAATTTTATTAAAAAAAAATTATTAATGCCATTACAGATTGCTCGTATACGATGACAATCATCAGTTACTGAGCGGATCAGCCGAAATTGATCACATCATCAACGATTGTATCTGGTTGCTCGAGCATCTAAAGAAGGATGATAATGCAGTACCCAAAAATGAGGAATGAATATTATTTATGCTTGATTTCGAACATATTTATTTGTGTATATATAGATCTTTATTATCACAAATTTTCAGAATATATATTAATGCAAGATTATTACATATACTTTTCATAAAGAACAGTATTCGTTCTCCAAAATATATACATACATATCTGTGACATTTGTATATTGTTATATAAAATTTGTATACTTTATATGTGTGTATATATAAGTTATTATAAACATATGTCACGCATGCCATGTCATTTATTAAATGGCGAATTCGATTGGATGCACTGAGTGCGCACTAAAGCTTGTTCATAGTCCGTTCTTATATTTACGGTCGTCTTAATTATATTTTCTTATATTTTCAAAAACTTTTAGTCAACAAAACCATCTATACGGATACTGTATAGATTCAGTATAGATACTGTATAGATACTGTATAGATACTGTATAGATACTGTATAGATACTGTATTTCACTGGTTAAGAAATATTTAGAGATGTATTTAAGACAATTTTTAAGTATAAGAACAAACTGTGAACGAGTCTTAATGCGCACTCAGTGTACACTAGTGCATCCAGTCGAATTCGTTAAAAGTATACTGTAATACAAGCGAGTTATAGACCACTTCCACATATATATGGATAAACATTTGTGAGATACATTGAAGGATCTCGTCAAATTTATTGTAAATTCTATTGTTTCTGGGACAATCGTACCTAATATAATAATATCGATTTTGCAAATATTATGGCAACGTACGGTAATATAAATGCAAATAACTACCGTTAAGATACACCTTTAACTACAAAATATTTAAAAAAAATCTATATAGTTAAGGAGATTGAAATACTGCATCGTTACGAAGATACAAAAAGTTATTTCGTTGAATATCAAAAAGTTACTTCTACGCCTTTGCTTCTTCATTTTTTCTGTATAAAACTTATCAATGTCCTTATATTATCGACATTATTTCTCTTTCAACACATTTATTATAAGATATTATAAAACGCGGTATGATTTAAGAATTTAAAAAAATAATACGACAGACTTAAAAGCTATACGAAAGAAAAGAAGAACAGCTATAAGTTGTATATCTAAATTGTAAGCTGCACAATTAACTTCACTCCTTGTAATCTCAGTAATGTACAAAAAAAACAACGAATACATTATATTTAATTAATGATAGTAATTAGGGATGTGCCGGATATTCGGCAACTATTCGGTATCTGGCCTATCCGGCCATCTTTTTACAATTCGACCGGATAGCCGGATTTCATTAGTATCCGGCCGGATAACCGGATATTAATTTATTAGTATAAGTTTGAAAGTTTGCGCCATTAATGCAGGATTCGAAATCCAAAGTTCTCTAAGAACAAACAAATTATCTTTTATTAAGTCAACTCTGTAATATACAATCTTTCTGAAGATTTATTTTCAACAATGCTTGACAGTGCCGTCAGAGTAACCCGCTCTCTCAGAACACAATACACGATATGCAACGCGCGATATCTAATGAGCGTACAATTTGCCGGAATACTAGTACTCTGATTGGATACTCTGATGTGTTGCATCACACATCGTACTGGTCTGCAAGAGCCATAAGAAAAGAAACAAAAACTCTGTTGTAAAGGGTGAAGCCCAGTTGCACACAATCCGATTAGACACGGAGTGTAATGATTGGTTATATCTACTTGGATTTAGTAATTCACTAGATAAAGCAGAGCACTGGTTGGTAGTGTGCAATTAGAACAGTCTCGTTGTAAGCTACGTGATGTAAATATTCTGCAAAAACATCTTATAGTCGATTTTAATGACCAATTATTAAAATATATGGCAAATATAAGCAAACGTTATGTAATGTACTATTTATGTAAATGTTAATATAGAAATTTCTTTGGAAATTAGTATCGGATATCCGGTATCACGTTATTATCGGATATCCAGTATCCGATATCCGGCACATTCCTAATAGTAATGCGTGTACTTGATTTAAACAATACAATTTAAACACTATTTTTTCGATTCAGTTTGAAACGCAATCCAATAAACTTAGCCAAAGAACTTATTTTTCGTGAAAAATAATCCTGTTCTGTTCCTGTTCTGAACTGCATTGAAAAAGTATTCCAAATGTATTGAAACCAAGTATACAATGGTGTAACCAGATACACGAGAGGGCTGCATTTCGACTGCGAGGATTAAAAGGATTGCATCGATCAAATCGAGTGCAATCGAGATCGACATAACGAATATTTATCAATTCATCAAGACCCTTCGCAACAGACTCCTTAGTTCTAGTTCAGAAGGCTACAGGAACCTACTCGTCGTGAGAAGAAGATGATGCGGTCGCATACGACATGCATCCCGAACTATACGCTCATCCAGTCACGTCATTGACCGCACGTGTACAACGCGGCGTCTAATTAAAACATTAGACGACGTGTTGATAAGTTGAAACACGTCTAAACACGATTGGATTCAATAACTTACGATCTGGCAGGATTACTTTGTTCAGGGAACAACGAGTCGTAACTGGGCGGCAAGTCCTTGTCCGCGACAGGGGAGGAGACCACAACTTCCAGCATGGGAGCGGTAGGCACCGCGCGACTAGCTGGACCGTCCGCGTCAGGCGGCAACGAGCCTGGCCGCGAACACACGTTCGGTCCGGCGCAATCCGACGACCAGCACAACTTCTGCGAGCGCTTGCAAATCCACAAGCACATGACAAAGATGATGAAGCACAGAATAACGGTGGTGACCGCTCCAACGGTGACCTCGGTCGTATTGTCTTCCCGGGATAGCACGTCTGTGTTTGGTGGGCAATTTGCTTCGTCTGAGCACACGGCGAAATGACAGTTCTGAATCCCGTCACAGATATACTCCCTCCGGATGCAGCTATCAAAATCGAACTCCTTGAAGTGCAACTTATCCGCAATATTGCTGCATTCTGCAAGTGGATTGGTTAACAAGGTCAGTGTACAACTTCTATTCCTCTGTGTGCGTTAAAACTTCTGGCTACCCGCCGTGAAACTGACAACAAAAGCGAGAAAATGTATGCGCAAAATCCCTACAAAATACGTCGAAATAAAAAGATATATCCGGAAAATAATATTTGCAATTGATTAAGCACACCTTTAAAATATTCCAAGTACTTTGTTTTTGCTTTTGTAATAAAAAAATAACTGTAAAATTAACGTAACACCCAGTCTACTTTTTTAACCTATTTTTTCTCGTGATTCTATCACGTAAATTTTGCGTTTATTCATTGTTTTGTTCAAACAAAAAGAAAGTGAACTATTTTACATATCTAGTTGATCGATTGCGAGTCATTTATGGATTTTTTATTTTTTTATACATATCTTTATTATCTTTTTATTTCTACGTATTTTGCAAGTATTTCCTCCCTTCTGATATCACAAAACAAAATGGCCATAGTGAAACACAGAAGTTTTAAAATAATATAAATGTTAAAAAAAGAACTCTTTAGATAATAATCATCAAATAAAGTAGGGCAAAATACGAGTTCAGGTAACAGTGCAATAAAACCAAATGAAATATTGGTGATCAATCTTATACACTACTACTTCTTGTGCCTGAACTCGTATTTTGCCTTTTTTTTATTTGATTATAATATAAATGTATTAAACATACTTCTGTATGGAGTATAAATTATTTTCAGATCCAAAGTCTGTCCACTTAGTACACTCTCTTTCGAGATAAATATTTCAGTTTCTAGTTTCCCTGTTTTTGTAAAGTCGTTAATTGGCTCAAACTCGCTGTAAGTGTTATCATGTCTGAAAAATCCTTCAGCAAAGTATGGCAAGCTGCGATCTATTGACCCACAGAACTTGTTTGTTTGATGACCATCACTCCTTTTAAACTAATGAAGCATTTATTAGAAATCTAATTACGAGTATCAATTACAATTGCATCACTTAAGGTGCAATCTGGAGTAATTCTCTATTCTATCAACAACAATTTATTGTGAATTTCTTCAATGTAAAATATATGTACACATCTTATTTACATGCAAACTGAATTTACTCAGTTCTGAGTACTCAATTCAGTTAACTTTATCAACTAGGAATAAAGCATTTAGTAGAATAATAGGTTTTAATTAGCACGTTATAAGCTAAAATATTCTGAGGAAGTTAAATTTATATGAGAATTTGTATTCAAAATTTGGAAATCTTATACAATTACAACAGCATATCTTTAAAAACCTTATGTGATGCATAAAAGCTAAAAATATATTTAATTCTAGAACAAATATTGTGTATTTCTATAACAAGTATCTCTCTTTTTCTATGATATTTATTATATTCATAAGAATACTACAGAGAGAAACAGCAAACAGAAGTTAAAAATGCAAACCTTTTCAGTACAGAATCATGTCAGTATAGCTTAGTTATATCAGAGGAAGATGTCCTCTGTTTATTTCTGAATCATGTGTCACAACTCACCTGTACATAATCCAAACAACTGTCTGTAGTGTCGTTTCTACGGAAAAACATCTTCTGAATAACAACAAAGAGGCCCTCTCCTTTGGCAGTTTTGAAGGTAAATTTACATTGGCGATTATAATTATTGCTCCAGTGTTCGAAGAAGCGCTTGGACTTAACAATCGCCGCGGTGGCATTACGTATTTCGTGCGTATGGGCTTTGTTTAACGGGTTGCAGATATGATGGTTCTCAAGCGAATCTGAAGCGAAAACATATAAAGAAGAGCAAGGTACAAAGGACCAGGGAAGCACAGGGGACCACCACTTATAAAACATAGATAAACAAACGCCATCTGTTTGAAAATGAAGAAATTACAGTAAACAGACAACTGCTAATAGTGTAATGATAGTAGGCCATGTAAACAAAGTATAGAGAAAGTTGTAACAAAAAAACTGCAAAAGGGTTACTTTTGAAGGTATGCTTGTTAAAATATAATATTAATATGTTAATATTAATATTAACATATTAATATTAATATTAATATGTTTGTATAAAGTAATATTATTATTGTGTGTATTATTATTGTGAAATCAATTTCAATCAATACAGTATTATTATTGTGAAATCAATTTCATAACATATCCACAATACATTAATGAAGTTATATATATATTTACATATTTTTACATTGTTATATAGACATAAATACATGTATTTTATTTTAAAGTGTGTGTTTGAGGCACAGAGGTCTGGTATTGTTGGAGGCACATATATTAATGTATATATATATATATATATATATATATATATATATATATATATATATAT